TTTCGTGAACAACATTAGAAGTAGCGTATAACGGCAAGGCATCCTTCGCAGTTGGAATCGGAAGGGTCTTTGCCGAGTTGCAAAATACGAGCTAAGCAGCAAAGTAGGTCTTTTCAATGGTAATGCGTAAGCGTCTCCTGATGGTGCTTAAGGTCTTGTCACCCTTAAAGGGCAAGGAAGTGAAAACAGGCTTTATTGGAGCTGACTGTTTAATAATCTTTTGTCGTAAGAATTTGCTATACTTGTCAATAAAGTCAGCTGGGTAACCACGCTTGAGAAGAGTTTCCTTGACGCTGGCAATTTTTGCATCCAGTGTATTCATTGAGCAGAGTTTGCTTGTCATCTGGAAGAGGATGCAAACTAATTTACGTTTCCATTATATGGAATCATGAGATCCAAAGCTCATATACCACAATGCGAAAAAATAAACGTCACCTGCGGATACCAGCTTATCTCCTAGGAAATTAATCACGTCGGATATATCGTCCACCAAGTACAGAGGGGTGTTAAAATGAGTGGACGCATTTTCCTTGGTGGCCTAGGTACTAGTTACTAGTACCTAGACTGTTAGTATGCCTGTCCGTTGGCAGCGAGTGCATATTTCGCCGTGGTTGATGGGTTTCAACCCAAATATAAACTTACAATTTCGGTCTACGCCTACAGACCTTAAATATACTGATGTATACTGCACACAGAAAATAATTTCTCAGGAAATTAAAAAGTTGAACTTTTAGAACGGTGATGCTATTTCATTTTATGGCTAGTATAACGGCCGCTTTAAATGACTGAGTAAATTTTAATGAGGGGTGACGGTCGTAAGGCGAGGGATAATTTTTAATTCACTTGTAAGAGCAAACAAATGTGGTTTGACTGGACACATAATTGGTAGAAGAGATTATGGCCCCCGTTATATCAAAGTGCATTCCGGATATCATTATTATCGCATCTGGGCTGCTGGAAAACTGTTGACCAATTTGTCTTCATGAACTTTCCGGGGCACTGTTGAGCGTAAGAGGAAACATTCGTGCATGGCAAAATATTTTTTCCGTGAACAAACATCTTCCTCTGTTAACATTAGCGTGGTTTTATTTTCCAAATTCAGTGAGCGCCTCTCTGAGTACACGAAAGATTTCCTTGTGTCAACAATTTTTGGCTGTGACGTTATCGGACGTTTGGGAGTCGCAACACTGGAGGACTTGCGTGCGCGCCTCATGCATGCCCTGGTTGTCTGTAATATTTCCAAACCGCGACTCATGTTTGGACATTTTGTCCGACTTATTTGTGGCTTCCTCTCCCCCTGCTGCCAGCGCTCTGACATAGCCGACATCGACAGATTACTGAGTCCGGAGGCCAAAGCTAAGTTACTTGACCCTGACCTGGATGATGTCTACAACTCGCCTATTGGAGGCAGCCTGAAGGACAACAAGGCCGAGGTTCTCTTCGGTAGGCAACTTGTATAGATTAACTCATTTTTTGGAAATGTCTACCTATTTCTGTTGTTTATGCAGTTGCAAACGTGTTCGTGCGGGTTAGGCAACAAACAGCATAAATGCCAGAGTAAAATTAGAACTTTACATATAATTATGTTGATAGGTATATTAATAAGTATCTTAATAAATTATACCAATAAATTATGTAAAGTTATAAAATATAAATTTGAGTAGAAGGTACTCTAGTTACACTTGGTATACTGCACTGGATTGTGGTGCAAGCACGATTGTTATACCTTTATCGGTCCTTTGGGTTTCCACTAAGCATCACACCCCCCGGCGGCAAGAATCGTACGCACAAATAAACGACTGCTCAAATGATTTTAAGGATTTATTTTTGCCCTCAATGTCCGTAAGAGGAATTCACTTCACATAACTTCAGTTAGTATACAATTGTGCACCTTCAATTCAAAAACTTGAAAGAAACTGTCCATAAATGTAGGATTTTTGCATTTATGATATGCATAATTATTAAAATGGCCTAATATTGCAGAATTATTAATGTTGTTCACAAGTTTACTAAAATCAGATACTCGCGTCGGAGGCGGGCGTATATGAAGTTTCAGTGTACGCAACATAAACTGTTCCAAAGCTTTAAAGTAAAAAATCTGGTTGATTTTGATTTTCTTTTCTTAAAATCGGAGACCTTTTTTAGAAGGCAAAGTTGACCCCTACTCAATTTAAATATGCTTCAAGATATTGAGTAAAGTAAGAAATTTATTTGCGTCTTTTCCTTATAGTTGCGTTATAGTTATTGAGTTATATGAACTCCGTAACAAATACATACAGAGTAACTTGTCACTTTGCGAAGGCAGTAATCGAAATACGAAAAACATATCCTTCTATAAATGAGACAATCCAGGCGATTTTCTATCCCAATTCGGTACTCATGTATATTCGAAACCTGTTTTAACATTCCCCCTGACGTTACTCGGGTTTAACCACCTATTTTAAAAAAAAATTCCATTTATTTATGCTGACAGCTGAGTTCTGGCAGATCTCCGAAAACATATTTGAATCTTACACTATGCGATTACTGGCCCAAAGGCTAATTGTATATAAAGCACATTTTTCATTACATTTCTGTGTAGGATGTCGCTTTCCTTTTTCGTGTTAAATTTCCTTCTGACGTTTTTCCTAGCTTTCCGGTGACAATTAGAGCGCATACTCTATAACTGCGCAAATAAAATCTTATATCCTGCTATATTTTATATCTTTTACTTTGTGACCTTTTTCAGACACATTTAGTCGGTTTATGCAACATTTCTTGATAGACATAAGGGACTAATCTGTGCTATTCAGGTTTGCTACCAACCAAATACTTTAAAGCCTTATAATGGAACTGAGATAGGATACTTATACTAGCAAAGTTCTGACGTCCGCTTTGGCCTTGCGCGAGCAGAGTTTAATATTGAGTGGATATAACCTTCAACTGAAATATATTTCAGAACATTTTTGATTCATTTACAGCAATCTTTACATGCCAAGTTAAATTTTCATTTACGGAAATGGTGTCAACATTCTAATTACCCTGCTTCCTCATGTCAGTAATGAAATATCTTAGAGTTCAAGCATGAATGTCGTTATGTGACCTTGCGCCTCCGTTAAAACTATTGCAAGCCGCTCTATAGCGCAAATGCTAAAACCCTGGTAAAATATAAGGCAAGGATGGAGCGAGATAATTATTTTCCTTAATGAGTAAAATAATTTGAGCTCGTGTTCAGATAAAAATAAATCTCGCTACTTAATGATACTATTTTGGTTGCGGTGTGTTGCTTCTCCTTTGTGGCTGTGTTGATGGCGCATGCCCTCATATTGGCTATCCCAATCTTCATTTACACACTAGCTTCTGAATGCCCTGGATGACAAGTAGGCAAGCTACTTCCAAAACATTCAAAACATTGCCGCCAAATATATTCAGTTGTGAGCTAATTTTAAAGGCTATTGAGTTCTCATTTAACATACTTATTCAAAAATATATGGAGTTCATTTCAATTCCAACTCAAGGAAGTTGGATAGACGGTTTTTAATTATAGTTGATACTGTTTAATCAAGCAACCAGTGCACATTTTGGTGGTTATTGATTATTGGGCCGTTTTGGCAAGGCTTTGCAATACTGGATTTTAATGGTCTTCCTTCAAGGAGTGTCACACGTTGACAGACTTCGGTCCACAGACCGATCCCTTATGAACTGGAAGAAACCAGAAGCTCGCAAACTTCTTCGTCTCTCTCGGCCAGTCTCTAGGAGGGTCTGGTTGGACCCAGAAGAAGCCCTCACGATTGACAAGCTCCTCTCGTCTTTACCGGATGGCCGCTGTGGAGCCAGAGTGCTGCATGTGCTGAATGTCGACAGAGACTTTGAGATCCCAGGAGTGCCGCAGTTTAAAAAGTAAGCAAACCTATTGTGTCCGTTTTGCCCTAATTCATATTTTCTTGGTTCATTTTCCGTCTACTTGTGGCGCTTAGGGTTACCAGAACCGCTACAAAATTAAAAAGATGATATTGTCTTTCGAAAGTAAACGATGCATAAATACTTTTATCACCCAAACATACTGAAATGGATAAAGGCAAATGTGAGTATCATTCCAATGCGGTTGACACGTTCCGCGTTCGAAAAGTACTTTAAACACGCGTGATGGTTGTAGACAGGGTACGTGCGGTGTACTTTTGCATTACGAAAAATAATATCATGTTCAGAAACTGTAGAAATGTCCCGATAGGGATGATGCAAATTAATTTATATAATACAGTTCCCAAAACGTATATCGACATAAAGACAGCTAGGTTTTTTTTATTTTTACCTTTTGCTAGTTTCACTTACGTAACTGGTGGTCATAGCCTGGTCCTTACCCTTTGCACATGTAGATTAAGACGTATACTGGCAGTTAGACAGCAGGAATGAGCAATTAGTAATAGAAACGTTTTTTGAATTAGAAGTCAACAAAACAGAATCAAAATGAGGTCAAGTCCATAGCCTACTCTAAGGACAATTAGCAAAGAAAGGCTTGCGAGCACCCGCGTGGGCTTACATATGTGAATAGTGCTCGTATGAACTAATCACAGAACGCGTAATTTTGGAGAGCAGGAAGTTTAACTTAATGCCTGTTTGTGGTTTGTTTACCGAAGGGACATAACGGAATATTTTCTTGAACTTGCTGATGTCGCTGTAATCAGAGCAGCTTTTATTTCTGACAGGGATCTCTGATTTTATGCTATAACCCTCAAGAAGCACGTTCGCATAGGCGCTTTTTGCATGTTGGCGTGCTCGTAGTTACTGTTCTCTGTTACATTGACTTGTCTAGTGGCAGTCAGGTCGGATGGTACTTGCAATTAAACAGTAATATGGCATTTATCGAGTCAGTGAGACAAGATCTTAATAAAATGCTTTATTGTTGTAGGTTTTATTACCCACTGAAAGGATAATCAGAGGAGGAATGTTAGCGTAGGAGTGCCCAGCAGGGCAGCCCTGAGCAGTATTCACCCGAGCCAACCCCTGAAGGTTAATTAACATAAAGCACTTCGTAGTCCTTGGTGGCCAGACCCTATGGAGACCACTTAGAAAGATACAGTGAAAAAGGTCGCTTAAAAATGCCAATGTCGCTGTAGTCAAAGCAGTGACGACTGCGGTCACAATTGCTCCTCAAATTAACTGAGATTCTGTTGCGTTTGCGTGTGACAATGGCAGAAGTGACTCATGGCATAAGTTGCTCTAACTGCGCTGAATTTGCGTACTCCTGTAAATGCATACAGTACGTAGGAGACAGAGAGATGACTATTTTATTTCACACCGATAACCGTGGCGAATCTCGCTTGTGCTCGAATTAGCGGCAAAGTTGACATTACTCGGTGATTGAAACGCAACACCCAAGGAAAAAATCCTGGCCCTGCACATAATTACAGTAGAGGTAAATATGCTCGAGTGCCCGATAGTTCGAGTGTCGGTTTCGGCGAGGTTCACCATATGCTCCACGGCAAGGCAGTGCGAAATGGCTAGTTGCGCGGGATTATAGTGAAGGTATAGTGAAGGCATCTACCCCACTCTCTGTCCTACTCTCCACCTGCGCCCTATTT